CCTCCCCCCGGAGCCCCGCAGCACAGGTGCGGCCCCGCCCCGCCCCGCGCGCGCCCCCTGCCGGCCCAGGCTCTGCGGACCACCTCTCCCACCGACCTCCGGAGCTGCGGACCCACCCGCAACCGGCGGCGGCCTCCCATCCTCGGCCCGGCCCTTGCGCCCTCTGCGCCCCCAGCGCGCTCACTTCTCCTGCAGCCGTGCCAACTTTCGTCCATTTGTTCACCCCCAGATATTTATGGGGTGCCGGCTACGTGCCGGCGCCTCGCGGGCCAATGGAGAGGAGGCACAGAGGAGAAGCAAAGGCGGCGCCCAAACCCTTGGCCCCAAAGCAAAGAATTGCAGATTGTGATGAATACTGTGAAGAACACTGCGGGTGGGGCTGGGCGAGAGTTTAATGGCGAGGCCGGATGGGGGCGTGGGTGGGAGATGGGAGGTAGGGAGATGGGAGCGGGCAGAGAGAGGGCCCCGGGAGGGAAGGCAGGGTCTGGGCACGCTGAGAACGACACGCAAGTCCCTGGAACGCGACCCCGTGCCAAGCTCTTTGTGCACAGTATCTCAGTCATTCCCCCAGAGATCCTAAGAAGACGGTGTCCTGGTTTTCCAGGTGAAGAAACTTGAGTACAGAGAGGGTAGGTAAGCTGACCAAGGTTACACAGCCAGGCACTGGAAGCCAAAGGGTCTGAATCCAAGCCCAAAGGCTGCACTTTTATAAAAACAAACCAAACCAAAGAAAAGCATCAGGGAGAAAGAGTTTGTTCCCGGCTGGGAGTGGAAAAGGCCCACAGAAGAGGGAGGTGGGTATGAACTTGGTGTTTGCAGGAAAGGCACCATCTCAAAGGCAGGTGGTCCACATAGCTTCAGCCAACCAAGGCACTCATTGCCCCGTCCAACTCCAGTCATACAGAACCCACAGCCTTCAAGATTGTCAGTCAGCGAGGCTGGCTAATAGTTCCCATTTTTCTTTAGTTTACAAAACAAATGAAAACAAAAACTGCAGTCTGCAACCTTCTAAAATGATTTCATGACCCACTAGAACTGGCCATTGTTGTGAGCCATGGCCTCCTTGCGACCCCAAAATGGGGAGAGAATGTTCTCTCAGGGAAGAAACTGAATTATAGGGTGGGTGGTGGGGACATAAGCGAGCCAGTCAGTGCCCTAGGAAGCTGGGGCAGTGGATGGGCACTGGCTGTTCAGAGTCAGCTGGGGTGACAGATTGTAGTTCTCAAAATGGTCAGATCAGTATTTCTGATTCCACTTCCAGAACCTTCCACTCCCATCAAGACACTCCCCCATCGATACTCCTTCTGTTGAACCTGGGCGAGGCTTGTGATGGCTCTGGCCAATAGAGTGTGGCAGAAATGATGCCATGTGACTTCTGAAGTTGGGTCATAAGGGGATTCAGCTCAGGAGGCCCCCCTGGAATCTGGCCACCTTGTGTGAGGAAGCCCAAGCCACTTGAGAGGCCACCTGTGTGTGTTCTGGCCGGCAATAGCCATTAGGCCAGACTCAAGTCTCTCAGTCAATAGGCAGACATGAGACTCCACCTTTGAGCCACCCCTCTGGGGGTGGTCTGTGGAGCTGAGGTGTCCTGTCCCACCGAGTCCTGGCTGAGTTGTAAATTCATGAGCAAGAGAGATATTGCCACTGTATTAAACCACTACTTTTTGGGGGTGACCTGTTATGTAGTCATAGTAACTGTAAGAGCAGTTGTTTAATAATTATCCCCATCTGAGAGATGAATAGGTGGATACAGAGGGGGTCTTGTCAAAGGCATCCCAGCCGGTAAGCAGCAAGTGATCTGATTCCAGAGGCCAGTGTTTATTTATTTTTAACTTTTCATTAAGAACATTTTCAAGGGCGCCTGGGTGGCTCAGTTGGTTAGGCGACTGCCTTCGGCTCAGGTCATGATCCTGGAGTCCTGGGATCGAGTCCCTGGCATCGGGCTCCCTGCTTGGCGGGGAGTCTGCTTCTCCCTCTGACCCTCCTCCCTCTCATGCTCTCTGTCTCTCGTTCTCTCTCCCTCTCAAATAAATAAATAAAATCTTTTTTTTTTTTTTAAAAAAGAACATTTTCAAATAAAAGGAGAGAGAATAGCATGATTAACCTGCATGTACCCATTATCCCATCACCAAGATTCAACAGTTACCAACTCATGGCTGATCTTCTTTCCTCCCTACTATCAATCACCTCCCTCCACTGCTGGATTGTTTTTGTTTTGTTTTGAGTAGGCTCCATGCCCAGTGTGGAGTCTAACAGGGGGCTTGAACTCATGACCCTGAGATCAAGACCTGAGCTGAGATCGAGTCGGACACCTAACCAACTGAGCCACCCAGGCACTCCTGCTAGATTGTTTTGAAACAAATCCTACGCACTATATAATTTCATTTGTAAACACTTCACTATCGATCTCTAAAAGAGAGCCCAAAAATAAATAAATAAAGAGAGTTCAGTCTTCTTAAGGACTCTATTGTCCTAACATCCAGGCATCTATCGAGTTGATTTTGTGGCCCGGGGTGGTTTACCTGACCACCGAGGAAGCAGGCATTAGGAAGAGCCAGACATGAGACAACATCAGTGGGTCTGTATGTATCAACATTTCCTCTGTGATTTTGCTGGAAACTCAGATGCCATTTATCTGGGCTTCAGAGCTGCACAGCATGATGCTGAATAAAAGTATCTGGAGCCACACATGTGAAGAAAAGGCTCTTTTCTAAGAATCTGAACTCAAATACGATATGAAAAGCACAGGTCACCGTGGGCCCTGTCAGGAGCCCAGGGAGTTGCTGGCCAGGGCTCCCTTGAACTGTTCATCTCTGCAATCCATACCGATAAACTAGGTGACTCTGTTGGTTTTGACAAATGAATTCCCTGTCTGGTTATCCTTAGCTAACCCTCTTATTCTTTTGCCCTTTTTGCTGGAAGGAATTAATGTTAATGCATTTATTTAATTCAGAGATCCCAGACTTCTAAAGCAAAAAAGCCAATCAGCATGAGGCACCTAGCATATTGGGCAGTGTTAAATAACAATAATTACCCCTCTGTGTTACCCAGCTGCACTGTCTTGCCTGCCAACCCTCCTCTGGGAGGCCCTGGCATTGCGGGAGGAGGCCCCTATCAGGCCAGTGGTGTCTGGCTCAGAGGCGTAGGCTCTTGGCTGTCCAGGCACAGTGACATGACCAGACTTCACAAAGGCCTCTGGGCCAGCTATAAGTAAATCAGGCTCTGTGCGAGCCCCACTCCAAAGCAGCCAGGGCTTGGGTGGGCAACCAGAAGCCCCTTAGGGTCATCACTGTGGCTCTCAGATCCCTACCTCTGTGTGTGAGCTGGGGCCTAAGCAAGCCCAACAAGCGAGGCATTTTCCTCCTTGGGTGGGACTGGCCGATCCAAGCTCACCTAAGCCCTTCTTCTGTACTCACACTCTGTCCTCAGTGCAACTCTCCAGGGGGAGAAGATTCTGGAATCTTCTCCATCCCCAAGCAGATGGGAAAACATGACCTGCTGCAAAACCACTAGTTAGGAAGATGCCAATGTAGAGGGTGTAGAAAAAAAGAGGACAAATACTGTGTAAAGACGGGCACTCTCAGCTTTCTGGGTGACAGAGTGATGCACATAGGTAATAGGGTGAAATTCACTTTCGAAATCATATAATGACTAGCGGTTTTCAGAGCAAAAGGTTAGGAAGGGAACCTCAAAACTCTCTTTTTTCCTGCAGTGCCTGTCTGGAAACTTCTGGCAGACGCTTCTCGTTTGTCCTCAATGTCCTCGTCCGTAAGGACAGGGGCCACAGAGGAGGCCTCCTCAGGAAGAGCAGTCTATGTTTGAGAAGGAGACACTTCAGAGCTAGCTGGAAAATATTTTTCTCTCCTATTTTCGTTTTGTTCTGACGGTTTGCAGAAACCCAGCCATCTTCCAACCCCACTCCGACAGCAGGTGGGAGCAATCTTCAAAGGCGGGCAGGGTGGGGTGTGGCCCGTGGGCATAATCTCAGCCCAGACTTGAATCTCGTTTGGGTACCTTCTGGGAGCCTTGGGTGGCCGATCCTTCTTTGCTCCCTGTCTCCGGCCTTCACCGAAAGCATCTCTGCCGAGCACCTGCTATGTACTGTTGTAGGCGCGGGACGTAAGAGAAAACAGTTCCTCCCCCCTTCATGGAGCTTAAGTTCTAGTCTCGGACACACGCAAAATCCCGCAACGAAATGCGTTTAGGAATTTCGGGGAGATGAAGCGCGTGGTTGATACGGGGCTGCCGGAAAAGTCTACCCGACTCTGCAACCCCGGGTTCCGCCCAGTGTGCGTTGCTAGGAACTCGCCTGGGCTGTTGCGAGGGGCTGTCGCGGCCGGCTGAGTCTCGCGAGGATCTCCGAGACTTCGCGCGGGACCGCCCATCGGTTGCCGGGAGACGGCGCAGCCTCGGCGGGGCGGGAGCCGTCTGTCTGCAGGCCGCGGCCGGTCTCGACCACCAGAGCCATGGTGAGGAGGCGCGGGGACCTGGGGCTCCTTGGTTAGCCGGCCCTGCGCGCAGAGAGACGACTGGACGGGGAGGCCTGGGTCCCCGGGACCTGTGCACGCTGAGACCCCAGAATGGGGAGGCCTGGAGTTCTGGGTTCCTGGCACTGAGGCCTTGGTGCTCTCGTGGCGTCTTCGTGGGGAGAGCACTGGGTGCTGCGGATCCCGCACCCTCTTGGAGCTGAGAGATCTGGGCTCTCCAGGATCCGGTGCTCACAGGGGTGCGCATAAACGCGCCCCCCCCCCCCCCCCCAATCCAGGGTCTGGTGTGCACGCTTTCCAGAAGACAACCTGGGTCAAAAGGATTTCCTATCTGGAAGGAAGTCTCAGTCCTCCAGATCCTTGGGACCTAGGGTTAGGGGCCTGGAGTACAGTCGGGGGCAGGCGATACCCTAGGACCTCCAGTCTCTGGGGTGAAGAGCCTGGGGCGTACCAGAGTGGCTAGAGGTCCGTCTACCCCGAGGCGTCCTGGACAGAGCCTCAGGGCACAGGAGCTGCTCTTTCCTTGGAGAGCCTTGGAGGAGTCAGGCCTCTATGGAGATGAGCAGGGTGGGAGCTCTCTGCCTCGCCAGTTCTTCCTCCCTGTCTCACTATCAGGGCCCTCAGCTGCCCCACCACTCTGATAGAGGAGTTTTCAGTAGCTCATTTTCCAGGCAGATGCAGCAGGAGGGGTATGAGCTAGTGGGGAGGACCCCTCTCCAGGAGCTATGCCAAGCCCCTGCATTTGGCTGTGAGTTGCCAAGTAGTTATGAACCGGTGGGACCTTCTCATGGGGTGGACTTCTTGGAGTAGAGGGATGAGAAAGACGGCAGTACGTTAGGAGTGAAGATTTCAGTGCGTGGGTCTTTTAGAATCAACTGGAAAAGGCCACCAAAATACTTAAGTTTATCACTAGCTTGTCCGAATATGGGTGATTTTCCTATTTTCTTTTTGCTTTTCTATGTTTTCTAAGATATCCGTGTAAAAATTTTTTTGTAATCATAAAAATGTTAACAGACACATAGACATACACATACACATATAGAAACATTAATAGAGACATTTAGATGCATACACAGAAATGTTACAGAAACATGGGGATGCATGCACACACAGAAGCATGGGTCACAGAGTTGGGAGAAGTGAAGGCAGAAGGTGGGGATTTGGAAATTCAGTACCTGCTTGAGTGGCCCTTGGGAAGTGAGTGGGGGTGGGAGGTTCTTTCATCTTGTCAAAGTTGTTAGAAGCAGGTGTGACACTAGGAGCCATTCCTGTGTGGTGAACCATTTACAGAGCACCCATGGTGAGTGCTGTCTGCTTCAGCTCTTGACCAGGGTTCTTGGAAGGAGTTTTATATTTGGAAGAAAAGAAGCCTCATGTTACCCCCCTGACCATTGCTGTAGGTCCATTTCTCCTTACACATACCCAATAGTTTCTTGCAGGTTTCGCTATGGTGGTTACAAGCATTATTGTGAACACGGTAACATTTGACAGTGTGCTGTTGGGGTTCTTCCTGGCCAAGTAAATTTTGCATTCATATCCAGGAGGTCTCTGCCACATACCAAGGAGTGGATTTGGAACGAGTTCCCCCCCCTTCCTTTCTGAGGGAGAAAATGTTCTCTTCTGAAGAGGAAGATTTGTGCTTGCTTTTCTTTGTGCGTGGTTATGGGTGGGAAGCCTTAGGGCACGGTGATGTGCTCCAGGTGGGGCATGACACAGTGAGCAATAGGAGACAGGAACCAGAATAGGTCCTCCTGTCCCAGTGTGCCCCGGGGGTTAATCAGAGCCAGCCAGATGGTGATGTCTTTAGACAGAGCCTGCCTTCCTTACCCAATCATCTCTTCTTTAATCAAAGGCGCCCAAGAAGAAAGGGAAGAAAGGAAAAACCAAAGGTACCCCGATTGTTGATGGGCTTGCTCCGGAGGACATGAGCAAGGAGCAGGTGAGCAAGGCCTTGGCCTAGTCCTGGGTCGGGATGGGACTGGTGGGTGTTGTTCCAAGTTGTCTCTGGGTGTTTGCCTTTATGAACCTCTTTCGCCGCCCACTGTCTCCTTATCCATCTCTCCTCAGTCTGCTCCTGCACTTCTGTCCAAACCAGGATATGCCTTCTTCCATTTCCATAATTCTCATCAGCTCCAAAACTATCAAATGCAGTACATATTCAAAAACTAATGATGTAATGTATGGTGATTGATATAATAACATAATAAAAAAAAACAAATGCAGTACGTATTAAGAAAAAAAGCAATATAGCTACATTGAAAATTTTTTAATAGGGTGATAGGAATTTGGAAGGAAATGATTTTCTGATATAAAAACTATTTTTAATTTTCTTTTTTTAAAAGATTTTATTTATTTGACAGAGAGAGAGAGCAAGAGAGAGAGCACAAGCAAGGGGAGCAGCGGAGGGAGAGGGAGAAGCAGGCTCCCCGCTGAGCAAGGAGCCCGACGACGCGGGCCTCAATCCCAGGACCCTGGGATCATGACCTGAGCTGAAGGCAGACGCTTAACGACTGAGTCACCCAGGCATCCGTATTTTTAATTTTCTGTGTATCATTTCTTTTTCTTTTTTTTTTTTTAAAGATTTTATTTATTTATTTGAGAGAGAGAGTGAGAGAGACAGAGAGAGCACGAGGGGGGAGCGGGAGAGGGAGAAGCAGACTCCCGCTAAGCAGGGAGCCCGATGCGGAACTCGATCCCGGGACTCCAGGATCATGACCTGAGCCGAAGGCAGTCGCTCAACCAACTGAGCCACCCAGGCGCCCATCTGTGTATCCTTTCAATTTTACCCTTTTATGTACCTGATGTTCACTGAGCTGTTACCACAATATATGCATATATAGTATTCTTATTTATTTTATTTGCCATTAAACAGTAGGAATTATTTATTTTTATTTTTTTAATAAGCTTTAATTTTTTTTTCTTTTTTAAAAAGGTTTTATTTATTTATTTGAGAGAAAGAAAGAGAGAGGGAGAGCATAAACGAGCGGAGGGGCAGAGGGAGAAACAGACTTCCCGCTGAGCAAGGAGCGTTACACGGGGCTCAACCCCAGGACCCCCATAACTCAGGTTATGGTCCCGGGGTCCTGGGATCGAGCCCCGCACCGGGCTCCCTGCTCGGCGGGAAGCCTGCTTCTCCCTCTCCCACTCCCCCTTCTT